ATCTCCTTCCACCTTGAACTTGTCATTATTGATACGATGCATGATATCAAGGGCTACAGAATCTCTAATAGTCGTAGTACGTACTTGGTTGAGGAAGTCAGCATCAATTGACATTATAGCAGAGCAAAGCCTGAATTGTTCCGACTTCAACAATGTTGTATACTATTGATCAAACCTTGCTTCTCCAACCTTTGGCGCTAGATACGATCTCCTTGATAATACATCGAATAGTCCTTGTTGCTTCCTAGGCCGATAAGTAATAACAAAGTCAAACATTTATAGCAATATACTCCATCGAGCTTGACGACAATTCAGAATCCAAGCTGATATGAAATATTCCAAATTCTTTTGATCCGTATATACGATCACTAGATGCGCAGCTCCTTCGAGAAAGTGACGCCACTCTTGGAAAGAATCCTCTATCGCAAGAAGCTCTCTTATTGTAGATCTCATAGTTGATCTCGATAGTAGAAAACTTTTGAGAGTAGAACGTAATTGGATGAAGCTTCTCATCTGTGCCTATCTACAAAAGTACAGCTCCCATAGCAAAATCTGAAGCATCGATCTCCAAATAGAAGGCCTTTGCAAAGTTCGGATGTACCAAGATTGGAGCCATAGTAAATGTCGTCTTAAGATCTTAAAATGCTTTATCCACTAGAGGTCTCTATTCGAGCTTATCTTTACATGTCAATCAAGTGAGCGGAGCAGCAACTTGAGAATAATTCTTGATGAAGATCTGATAGAAGTTAGCAAAGCGAAGAAAGCATTGTACATCTCTAATCGTCTTTGGATCTTCCCATGATATTGCTTCTATCTTCTTAGGGTCCATCTTCAAGCCTTCCGTAGTTGTAATGAATCCCAATAATTCTATCTCAGTTTGATTAAATAAGTACTTCTCCAACTTGGCATAAAGTCCTCACTCATGGAGTTTTTCAAGGACCAGACAAACGTGTTTCTTATGCTCTTTTATGTTCTTAGAAAATATCAAAATATCATCTAGATAGATGACAATAAAATCGTTAAGGTGCTCCCAAAAGTTGTCATTCATCATGTGTTGAAAGATCGCCGGAGCATTGATAAGACCAAAAGGCATGACATTATATTCAAAATGGCCATACCTTATATATATATAAAGTTATCTTCTATTCGTCTCCTTCCTTGATTTGCATGAGGTTGTAAGCTCCTCTTAGATCAATCTTTGTAAAGATCCTTGCACGCCCAAGTTGCTCTAAAAGACTTGATATCAAGGGTAATGGATAACGATTCTTCTTTGTCACCTTGTTGAGACCTCGATAATCCACACACATCTACGGCGAGTCATCTTTCTTCTTTACAAATAAGATTGGTGCCCCAAGTGACGACTTCGAATGACGAATGAAGTTCTTGACTAGATTTTCGTCAATGTACTTCCGCAACTCTGCTAACTCCATGTGCGACAAATTGTAGATTGGGCCAAAAGATGGTTGTGCTCCTTCCTGCAAGTCTATGGCACAATCGTATGGTCGATGCTCTGATAGCATGTCGACATTTTTTTTTGAAACACGTCTTCAAAATCCTTATATTGCTCTGGTATATTTGCTATCAAAATCTTCTCTCCACTAGTTGGAGTCGCATAAATGACAAACAGTGTGCCTTCCTTGGATGATGTTACAAACGCTCTTGCTCCAATAAATAAGGGTTTTATGATTCGAGATCTTCTAACAAGCTTATTCTCGGAATGTTCTATAGGAAATATCATCCTTCGTAACTTCCAATCTATGGATGGGTTATGCATTTCTAATCAAGAAAGACCAAGAATAACAGGGTTTGATGGAGTTCTAATAATATTGAAAATAATATAACTACTATAGTCTTTAAATGTCACCTCTATAGGTTTTGATTCATGAGTGACACTACTAGACAATAAAGTTCATCCATCTATTACTTCTACGTGAACAGGTTTAGGTTTTTGTACTAGAGGAATCTCATGATGCTTAGCAAATTCTTCGTCTAAAAAAAAAGTAGATGTTTTTGAATCTAATAATGCTAAGGTTTTTAGTTTTTGAGGGCCAAAAGATAGAGGAATGGTAAAGCAATGGGCAGGTTAAGCAAAAAGAGAGGAACTTGATTGTTGTTGTGGTATTGAATTGTCCACCTGCACGGTCCCTATTGTGGCTAGGCATCCTCGTTTTCCTAAACAAACTCACCTCTGGTCCTGACAATGCATCGATTTTGCTTCTTGGGGCAGCTTTCAGCTCTGTGGCCTTCTTCACCACAATACAAGCATAGTCCTTCATCCATACGCCGCTTTTTTTTTCTTCTAGAGTTAGGGATTTGACTCGTACCACATCAATTTGCATGTCTTCCATCTCTGAATGTGAATTCAGGCTCCTTGCTGACTTAGTTGGAGCGCGGTGAGTCGTATGTTGAATTGAGTGTTGATCTTGGCAACATTAGAACAAGCAATTATCGTACTTCACAGCTTGGCTAATGGTTTTGTTGATGCATTTATGGATTGAGAAGAGATAATAACAAATCCTTCACGTCATCTCTCAAGCCCCAATAAAATTGACTCGTTAATGCTTCCTCATCTTAGTTGATGTCGTACACTAATTGTTTGAAATCTGATGCATAGACTGATGTGGAGCGTGCTCCTTGTCGTAGTGATCGGATCTTTGTTGTAGCCCATTGTGCCTTGTCATGTTCACCAAATGCTTCTGCAAATGCCTCCAAAAAAGTTTCAAAGTTGTTCAAAATTGAAGATCCTTTCTCAAACAAAGGAGGAAACCATGCTAGCACTTGCCCCTTGAGCAAAGTTCCAACCAGTCCAATATGTGACTCCTCCGTCGGATAGTGTTCGAGCTGTAAAGATGTTATTAATTTAATTTAATTGATAAAATTTCAAAACTTGGAACACATACCATTGAACTTGTCTGGAAGGCTAATTCGGGGCTCTTTTCGTTGTAAGACCAACAATCCTTGTTGAACTAGAGGCAAAGATGCTTCTTGTGGTGCTGAAGTTTGAAGCTGGTGAATCCTTGATTATGCCATCTCGGATGCTCCAACATCATGAAGTCTTGCAATGATTCCTTCAATCTCTGCAGTTCTCTGTGATAACGTAGTAAGAGCATTCATAATGGCATCCAACTTGGACTTCGAACTTTCAGTCATACTAATATCTTGACCTCCAGCCATTCTAAGAGAAGGAAAGAAATGACTCTATAAGAAGGCAATATTGGTTTAGAGGAGGGTACTCCGTAACCTCTAAAACGCCTTAAAACCTTCAAGAAGAGGGATAATCCACTCTCTCCAAGAAAGATAAGACTCCAATATTATAATAGAAGAAATATCAATTTAGAGGAGGGTACTCTGCAACCTCTAAAATGCCGGTACCTTCAAGTAGAGGGATAATCCCCACTCTAACAAGAAAGAACTAGCTCTGATATGAAAGATGAGTGCAGTCTCGACAAACTATCACGAATTTAGAATACTAACTGAAAATCTAAACAAGAAACTCAAGAAGAATCAATAAGAACTAGATTAATCAGATGAGTACAAGAACAATACTAGAGAGGTGAGCTAGAGCTCCAAGAGGTGTATTGTCGAGACTGAGGATCCCCTCAGTCTCGGCTCCTATATATACTACAAGCTAGGAAGCTTCTCAAGCAGCTTCCACAAGCTAGGAAGCTTCTCAAACAACTTCCACGAGCTTGAAAACTTCTAAAGTAGCTTCTAAAATCTTCTATAACTTTCTAGTGTATGTCCTTGACAGTCTCTCAATAATATAAGGAGTAAAGCTCTTACATGCTTTAAATGGAAGTTGATGTTTATAAATGCAATGCAATCTAACTCATTGTAACCATAAAATCATAAGGTAATAAAGTTCTTCTATAAATATAACTTAGAATATAGATTTAGAATTAAATAACATAAATACCATAATGGCTATTTTTAATTTAAAAAAATTAAAAATTCATCTAAAAAGATAAAATAGATAACAAATAAAATTTAAGATAAATAACTTTAAGAATTTTTATTGCTATTTTAGGATTAAATTTAAAATAAAAGTATTAAGTGAGCTATCACAACAAGCCAATGCAATCACATTGAAGTAGTATAAAAATACTTTTACATTAAAAAATCCAAATTTATTAGTATTCTTTTTAAATCAATTCTAAAGTTGATGAATTATTTTGAAGCAAAATAAAAATAAAAAACTCAAAAATAAAGTATAGCATAATTTATTTTAAAAAATATTAAGATGTTTTATATATACAACAGAATATATCCACATGAGTTTTATGTTTGTACTCTAGTTATCAGATTCAAAACAATTTAAAAGTTTATATTTAGTGTCATATAATCTACCTCTATAGTGAGATAATAATGTTTTGTCTATGATAATTCTGTAAAATAGCCTATATTCTGTAAAAATAAATGCATATCTTTAAAAAAACATTTAATAATTTGTATTATTGGTCCAATCTACATTACAAAAAACTTATATTTAAATATTGTGATCTACCAACTTAGATGCTCATTAAATGAGTAAAAATAAAGTAGAAAAATTCCTTCAAACTCTCTAACTTGATCACCGACAGTATTTTTAACACAATACTTTTACAAAAACATGTACGCATAATACTTAAACCTGTTGACAACATCACAAAAATTTATAATATTCTTTTAACAAGATTATATATATATATATATATATATATTCACACACACCACACACTGTTCCTCGTACTCACAACTCCAAAAATTTGGATGATTTAGTCTAGGGAGAAGAAAAACACCAAAACTATCATGTCACGTTAGATAAGCCTGGTTGTCATCACGGATTCTAATGCATGGTAATTAACCTGGTGGTGACTAATCTCATCCCACAGAGTATGATAAATTCACTACAATACGATCTGTTTTCCAACGTATTGACTTCAGAAAACTAGTAACTATGGGAAAGTACAGCTTCAGGCAAATCCAATAAGTGGCAACAACAAACGACATCACCATCGTCACATAAAAAAAATACTCAATTGGCACAAACCTCGATGAAAGGTTGTATTATGTGCAAAAATGTCCAATTCCTGAATACAGGTCTATTTCTACAACCATCCTGTTGGGCAGAACGGATAAAAATCAAAGATTATTGCCAGAAGACTGATCCACAACCTAGTGCTAGTCAAAACCAGCTCTACGATGTCTTCTTCACAAGTCTCCGACCTCATACTGTACATGGCCGATGCACACATGAGCTGAGAGAATCGAGGGCAAGTAGTTCCACAACCTCATCGTGTGGCCTGAGTTTCTGCTGCGAATGATTCGACACAGTCAGGGTTGAGTTGAAGAATTCACTGTATTGTCGAGCAGCTCTGCTCGAGGAAACCAAACTCAAATAAACACGGCCGTCAGGCGGCAGTATTCCAAAACGGTGCAGGTGATGTGTGGGTGTATACAAACTGCTGATGCGCCCTTCAATTTGCCTGCAAGCCAAGCGTTCGGCAGTTGCGAATGTTAGATAACGATCAAGTGAACACTTAACCGATTCAGCGAAAGCGAATGTTGTCGCAATACAGTCCGAAGGATGGAAAGATCTTTTAGTGTATGTACCTCGGTGAATCGAAACTGTGCTGGCTGAAGTGTATCGCATTTCGGAGACCCCATCTTGGACTTTCCCTTGCTGGAAGAACGCCTCCCAGTGCATTTCGACACGATCTTTCTCATAGCTTTGGTGATGGATACCTGCAAACACTTACAAGTGTGAGAAAAGAGTTGCGAAGTTGCTGATATATGCTTTTACAGGGTCGCAGCATTGGATGATGCAATGCGAATGATGCAGATAGACAGATTAATACTCACCATCATGGCGTGTGCCTCTTCGGAAGAATGACGACGCAGGCCAGAATGCGACTTCCCCTTCTCCGCATCGGAGCCTTTGGATTTACACTGCTTGGAAGCTGCCGCAGGTGAGACAAGTTCCCACGAGGTAGCATAAGCAGAAGATCCATCGCCGAGATCGTTATCGTTAATAGCAGAAACGCCGGTTGCAACGATACAGCTGTGGTTGGAGTCGTCTGAGGAGATTAACCGCAACGGAGAGAACATCACCCCAAGCCGCGCGGTGAATTCGTCGTCCCGGGATCTCGACTTCTGGGCAGCAGACGGCATGCAGCATTCTTCCTCGGAGAATTGACGATGGTTTCGAGGGGAAGCTGAAAGCAGGGATTCGCACTCAGTGGCAAGGCATCGACTGTTTGGCTCCGAGTCGTCACTGTGGAGACGCGCCGAGAAAGTCGCATGCCAGAGCTCGGGGCTTTGAACTACATCGGGAAGAGCGCACGATGAATTCACGTCGAACCTGTCGTCGCATCCGAGCAGGTCGATGTTTGAGGCCTCCGTTGTGGTATCAGTGTTGATGAGATCATCATGAGAAGGTCGCGCAGGGCCAAAGTCTCGGAATGACAAGCTCACGCGTCGTGACTCCACAATGATGCACGCGACAGTTGAGTTGAGGTCGTAGGCTGTATTGAGGGCTTTGCAGTCATCTTCATTAAGATCGAAAGATGCACTGCAACTGGATATGGATTGCGATGTAGACGCTGCCTTGGCTGAAGATGCCGGCGTTCCAGGATCGGATCTTAGGGAAGGATTTGAAGACGACAGACTCCCGTCGTCCGGTCCGCGGAGGATACTCCTCGGAGAAGACGAATTCACAAAATCGCCAATGTCTTCCTTGCCCAGCGTAGTGGGTCGAATCGACCCAAACATCGAGTTACGCGTATTCGTGAACAGTCTATCTGCTGAATCCTCCACTCTGCGGCGACTGGAGAACCGTAGCAGAGAGCCCCGGGAACCACTGTACGACTTCGATTTCGTCAAGATCGAATCGGAAATATTCTCCGTCGCAGAAACTGAGCACGGGTTGGGGAAAAGTACATAGACATCGTCCAATGGCGCACTCTTCGATTTGGCAATGTATTGCTGCTGCAAAATTCTGTAATGCAAGGATTCGTCGGGTTCAAGACTGCTAGCAGATATATCCTCGACTTTAACCTTTCCTTGAGGCGCTTCCCATTTGAACGGAATCCTTTCTGATCCACAGGAGGGAGATTCATCTTTCCTTTCCATGGTATGCAGTTTAGAGATCAGAGGTGCAACAAAGTCTATCATGTTCACGAAGCCGATAGCTTCATTTGGGTCCATATTGTCACCTAAGAAGTCACTATCATGAGCCTCATCCTCCGTTGTAGTTCGGCAACTGGCGTACTCCGAACGACCATCAATCCCATCACTAGGTGAGTCAGTGAAGGCATTCGCAGCCTTGTCAGTATACAGCGCCGGCTTCTGTTCAAATATAGAAGACAATTCCCCTACGTTCGCTACTTCACAATCCGACTCAACTCCAGGAATCTCCTGTGCAACTCCATGAGCAACAATGGTTCCCTCACCAGCAAGCTCTGGTTGTGATGATGCGTCCCACATATTCGAAGAGGGCGTACAACTCTTATTTTTTTCCGGACTGAGGTGCATTTCACGCCCTCGTGAGAAGCTTCCATGTTTACTATCATCTGAAATGGTAGGGTCGTCCAGGTACTTGTAAGAAGGCATCAAAGCCGGATCAAGTTCGCCACTCTGGCTTGATTCATTGGACGTGGAGACAGGACTCCAAATTGATCGGCTCTCCCCGGTGTAAGTCTTCTTCGTCACATTGCTGTACCAAGGTTTCGACGAATCGTGCACATGTCGGATGCTGCCCCTCCTTTCGAGGGAGCTCCTTGGACTGTCCACAGATGGTTTGGGATGAATTGGCGAGCTCCGCCATGGCGCGAGCTTCACGTTGTCAAGCTTGCGCACGACTTCAAACCATCTGGGCGGCTGGGTCGTAATTTTCAGCCAACCATGATGAGTCGACGTCGGTTGTTCCTTCTCCTCCCACAGCGCCAAGCTTTCACTGTCCTCAGACCGGAAACTGTGACCCACGGAGTTCTCTTCCTGCGATGTAATTTCCGCGTTCAACCTCTGCGAACTCAATCGCTTCTCGAAGTCTCGCCGCTCCGATACGCCATCACAGCAGGCGGTACTGTGCCGGGACGGACTAGCATTCAGCAACCCCTCCAGGTTCTGGTGCGACACGGTACGCTTCGTTCCGAAGAAACTTAACCCATGCACCCCTTTGGCTTGCGAGGTCTTCTTCCCAGAGGACCGCGATGCTCTCTGACTCGAGTGTGCGGAGGAGCCTTGGCTACTGCAATTAGAGGATCTCGGCTTACTTCCGCTTGAGGAGCCCCTGCTACCGTCGCTCGAGCCACTAGTACTCCCACCCGACTTCTTGTGACTTGCTTCTGGCCGCGTGGAGTGAGACCCTTGTAGGCTCAGCTGGTAGGATCCCATTTCGTCTGTCCGCTACCAGATTCAGACCTCAAGGCATTCCTCTGCTCATACACTAGAACAAACACGCTCAACCTCCCAGACAGGAGCAATCTGAGATTGCATACCTGCCTGGACTTTACTCTCTGTCAGAGATCTCAATAGGCTAATTTCCAGGAGCATTCCCTCATGCAGGTTCACTCTTCGACGATGCATCCATTTTGTGCTTCCCAAACCTCAAATCCGGTGCGGTTTTGTCAGATTCAGAACGTACGAGCCGTCGAAGATATCTAACGACTGAGTTTCCTCCGAGTGGATAAGTCGATCGCGTCCTTAGATAACATTGGGTCGATCGCAACTGTCCAGATCGGAAAGCTTTCCAGGTAAGAAGGGGCTGGCGTTGGACTTATGAGCCTGAACAGATTGCGGTATTTTTCACGGGGAACCTCGGGACAAGACTCCCAACAGTGGCGTGACCAGCAAAGCGTGGTAACTGCATTGAATGCGAACCCCCGAATGTCGCCAACTGCTTCCAAAGAGGACGCGATTGGAGGGGGAGAGCGGATAGCATTCCTACTCCTAGCCCCACTCCCCCACTCCCCTACGAGAAGAATTTTGACATAATTGGCAGACTTGGTAGGAGCCCTTGCGATCGTTCCAGCTATTTCGATCGGTCGGTCGATCGATCGATAGCTCCACAGCGTCAACCAGTGGAATCAGTACATCATTTCGGAGGTCACCTCAAGGATACAGCTTAAGGTATCCAAAACATAATCACCAGCATTAACCATCGTTGCGTAACATTAGCTAGCAGATATTTCTAAGTTATGCATGTGATTAGTCCCCCTGACACGTTGTAATCTCCACCTGACATCTGCCTCAGTTAATTATGAGGAAGGGGGTTTCGCACATTCCATTGCAATATATTTCCTTTCGATCTCATTGAGGATGTATTTAGCTTCCATTGCATTAAAAATTCTCGTCATCTAAACTTTGTTTTCTTTGTTGGTGCATTGGTTGCAATACTTCCCGTGGTGCTAACCATGGTGACCAGCGTGAGAATTTCTCAGCCTGTTTGGCATTTTTTTTTTTTTTTTTTTTTTTTTTTTTTTTCACTCAAGTAAAGCGCCATTAATTCATTTTTGCAGCATCGATGGACTTTTTTCCTACTCACCCACGCCCAAATGCGGAAAACATAGCCGACCTTGATGATCTATGCTCCCAATTTCAGCACAACAAGAATCTAGACCCATCACAGAGCCACCAACAATCTGCATACGAAATGAATAATCACGTCACCAACCCACTCGCAACCGAATCTCCTTCGTTTGCACTAAAACAAAAACCAAAGTCCAAACACAACCCTGACATTCACAACGTCAAGGCTACTTAGTTCCTTGAGAGGGTGCCCAGTGAGCGACAAAACATCGAAGGGGGCATGGAATCTTGAAGGCTTGGTTGGCAAAAACAAAATTAGCATACTCGGTATTTATTGAGCACGGCACGAATCTCTATACAAACATACGATGTCTACAGACACCTCGACAGTTTCCGAAAAGGTGAAACCTGCACGACACTCTGACTGAGTTTTCCTGCGATTGTCCAGACCGACGAGAGCTTGTGGGTAAATGGGCGGAGAACGCGACCTCGGGTAAAGCCACAAGAGAGGAGTCCAGCGGCCACCGTCACATGCCAATTGAGTGCAGACATTGTGCCACATTTAAAGCTATCCCACCTGCTTTCCGAGATTGTCCCGGCAATCATGCAGGCACCGAACTCCTCGAGGAAGATGGAGACAATGAAGAAGAAGAATAAAAAAATGTAACCAGCAATACTTTTGCTGTGCTTTCTAGTTCACGGCCTTGGACTCGGTGCTGGTTTTGACTCCGTCAGAAACAGGGTTTGGATTTTGAAACGAGAGATTGGAAGTTCATGGCGATGATGAATGGATTTCGGCACTGCTGAGCAAGCGATCGATCAGTGGATCTGGAAAAGAAATCGGCAAACAAACAAGCAAACTAACAAACAAACAAACAAACAAACAGCATGACGGATGGATTTTGTATGAATAGCTTCAGTCCTCTGGATGCTTCTCTAGCTGCCATACCAGAGGCCTTGTGCAACACAAATAATCCAAAAGCTTGTTTTCATACAAATATTATGATATATATATTTCTTTCGTGGATAAGGATTCTTGTTGTTTTCTGAGGACCAATTCTGAGGATGCGGGCTGAAACAAAACCATTTGAAGACTGAGGATTGGAAATGTTAGTAAGTAAAATATTCATTTGTGAATGTTTTTTTAAAGTTACAAAGATTGGTGTGTACATTGATCTTCAAGGACAAAGTTAGTGTGTTATTTTGGGCTTCACTGTAAAAAAATTAAAAACAACTTTTGGGTTTTATTATCATTCTATGTTTTGTTGCATTTTAATCAAAGATAATGAGTTGTTTTTTTAGGTGCCTTAACATGTTTGATATGTTGATAGATGTGTTCCATGGCTAGTGTTAGTGATCGCTGATCTTCTCTGATATACAGAAGCACACAAAAGCTTTGATAAACTATAAATTTATTAAATAAACTGTAGTGGATGTTTTGCCTTTGTTTTTTTTAAGGCCAGTGTTTCTGAGGGGCATGACATCAAAATAGTCTTTTGAAAGAGTTCTTTATTTTAAAAATACTTCATTATCTTCTAAAGCATACATAATTAAATTTCAATATGTGGATGGAATTAGTCTTTACATTATTTGGTATAGCTTTGTTCTAAATGAGTATCACAAAATTCCAACTGTTTCATAGAATTGTATATTTTTAATATTGCACAAGAAAAGGGACAATCGTAACAATATTAATAGTAATAAAAATTTGTCTAAGTAAAAAAATTCCATGTGTAAATTATTCAAATTGGTCTAAAGATATACATTGCATTTAATGATTGATATTTTATACCATAATAAGAAACAATAAGAGATAATATTCTGGAAAAAAAACCATAGACATAGTTTGAATATCTCACACCAGATAATTTTCCTATTATAAGGCTGGGTATTGAGTTTAGAGCTGATTTTAACCTTTCTTTATATTTATATTTTGATATACAAGACAATAAACTACACATAGAACATGTTCATGGAACAAATGAGTTTTCACATGTTAAAATAGTTTTTTATTTTAATTTTTTTCCTTAAACTATTCTGTGTAGTTGCACGTGTATAAGATAAAAATAAATCATGTAAATATGTGTTTGGATTTTAATGTTGTTACTCTATAGATTATAAGGTATATATTAATTCAAATAGAAATTTGTAGAATGGAATTGTACATTGCAAAAAAAAAATATATATATATATATATATATACTTTTAAAAATCACAAGTCAACCACCAGATCTAATAGCCAATTTTGAAATCCCAAATACATTAATTTTGTCAATTGCACAAATTTTGGCATAATTGTGGGTAGTAAGGTTGAAAAGAAAAATATGTCAAATGTTTATGATGTATTACAATATTGAATGATATTGAACAGTTTTGAATATTGAACATATTCTTTAAGAATACAATTAATAATGCAACAATCATTTGTAGAAATGTGAATATATACTTTAATGAAGTCCTTTAAAATCAAGTTTCATGGATCAAATGGAAGTTTCATGACTTTGAATGTTACTCTCACCACTCAATTCAGACATTTGCAACAACATTATGATGTTCATCCATACATATATCTTAAATTATTAATTCTTCAACATCTTTTTATTTAAGTAAATGGTTTTATTTGTGATACTCTCGCAGATAATTACATTCCAACCTCTTGCCTTCTAAACCATCTTATTTATCATGCACACATCCAATTAATGGACTAATCAATCCACTTATTTAATTTAAAAAATATCCACTATAATATCTTTCCACGTGTGATCCATTGGTTAGAAGAAGGAGAGAGACCCTATTATATGGGGCCATTGTGATAAATGGCAACGATGTTGAGAATAGTAAGATAGATATATATATATATATATAGATATGAATGTGTGTGTGTTTCACTTAAGCAATTGCATCAATGATACATTATTTTATTCAAATTTTTATTTAAAGTATTGGGTCCCTCCCCCCACCATTGTTTGCCAACTATAGCATCATTTGTTGGGTGATGCCTTCATTTCATACAATTGAATTAAAGCTAGAAAGCCATTAATATGGTTCTTTACAGCTCAAGGCCATACCCCACTCTATAATGCATTGCTGATTGGTGCAATGGATTTCAATCTCGAAGATGCTCCATCTTTCTATCTTGCATTAATCTCTTCAAAAAATTCCAGAAAAAATATTATTATTTTTTGAAAATGTCAATTTGGGTATCATTTAACTCGAAATTCGAGGGGCTTTGTTGTTGAATGAAAAAGGATAACAAGGCGCACAAGGTGGAGTGGATTTCCAAAGTGGATAAATGACAAAAAGTGAACAATTGACATATAAATGAATAGATATGTAAATAAATAAATAACTAGATAAAGTATTCCATTAGAACTCAAGGCTTCAAATTGACACCTTCGAGAAAAGTATGAAACAGCAGAATTTCATGACCAGATTACAAAATTGAAAATTGGGACCCACAAAAGGATCGAAAAGATTTTTAGATAGGAAATGAAGGCTTTACGATTAAGACTTAATGTATCTAAATTAAGAGCAGTTTTAAAGAGTGAGACTTTCTGATCATGACTTCATGGAATGAGAGTTTTTGTCCTTCTCGCCTCGGTTGTTGGATCAAATGTGGAGTGAAATCAGCAAATCCACAATTCATTGACTCTTTCACTGCGTCGTTCATTGGATTCTGATTCCCATAAAACAAAAACAAAAACCTAAACATCCTAATTTAAGTTTGTTTTTTGATTTATAGTAGAATTCTGGGGTGGGAAGGATCTCTTTGAATCTAGAATCCTAGTCTTTCCAGTTCACCATTTCGTTTGTTGATTATAACTTTCTTTGCTTGTTTTTTCTTTTTTTTTTTTTTTTTTTTTTAATTTCATTTTACTTTCTGTGTGCAGTAAAGTCATCATCTCGAATTTGAATATTACATTTTATGTATTATTACATATGTACAGAACCCACAATTTAGTTTTCTAAATTTTAAAGTTTTCATATATTGTTTTACTTTTGAAGCTGGAACCATTTAAAATGGGTTTTTGTAGAGAACTAATGCTGTCTATCCTTGGAAGTTGTTGATTATATACAATGGTTTGAATGAATCGTTGTAGACAATATCATCATAAACAAGACAATGCAAATTATTATTATTATTATTATTACTATTATTATTGATCAACTTGTATCATGAAAACATCTCAACTTGTTCAATGCATTCTGGCACTGAACCATGAAATCTATTTTTAAATAAAAGGAACTGTTTGATTTTTCAACCTCCACATATATATAGAGTATTGTTAAGGTCAACATATTTTTTTAGTTTGTTTTTATTCCAATAAAGATTCCTAGTTGTATTTTAAATTTATACGAAATCAGTAATTGAAAAGTTTAAACAAAAACCAAATAAAATGTGAAAGACATGATTATAAACACAATGATATTATGTCAGAAAAACCATTGAAATTATTATATAGAAAAAGAGGTAATTAAAATAGTGGTTCCATGGTTTTCTATAATTACCACTATAGTCTTAGATTTCACTTAATTTATTTGTATTATCATATCTTCAATCATTTCAGAATTGCTGTTA